ACGACTCTGCCCTTCTAACAAACGTTGGGTTAAATTAAATAATACACTTGAAATGTCTTTGTAAACTGAGATTTATGTGCAAGCTCCAGGTGTTATTACTGTTGTCCTTGTCACCCCCAAATCAGTTAATTTGAGCGCATCCCACGGGCACAGAGGCTGCTTCCCAAAACTGTCCAGCTGACTAAGCTCCACTACTAGGGAGCTCTGCATTCAGAAAGTTCTAGGTGGAAACCTGACTCTAGCGTAAGCTCCACCAGACTGGAGTCTCATCCATTTTTATGTATCTCATGTTTTGCATGGTACCTGGAATATATATGTGCTGAATGAATGTGTTTCTAACTATTTATTGGAATCTCTGCCTTCTACCATTTACCTGATCTTTGAAAAATTTTTTAAACTTTCCAAATCTCAGTCTCCTCATCTATTAGATAGATATAATAGTATCTCGTGGTGTTAGAAATTTAAAGGTAATATGCAAAAGCCGCCTGGCACATAGAAAGCAATCAGTCAATGGCAGTTAAAACAAAGGGAGAGGGGGAGTGTACTTGTGCAACTTAGTAAATGAAGGCTAGCTTGTTATTTTATGGTTTTGTCAGCCCTTCCTTTTACCTGTCATGAAAGAGGCAGCCTAGGGAAAGGAATTTTGCAGCAACATTGATGTTCTGAGTCACTGAACTAGTTAAGGAAGCAAATTTCAAAGGCACGATTACTTTGTGGGCCCTCAGGGCAAAGGGAATAAACAATTCCAGCCTTCACAACAACTTCTTCCAGAATGAATATGCCGGGCAGGGCGGGCTGGGGTTTCCCAGACGTCTTTCGGACCAAGTGACAAGCAATGTTTTACCTCGTCTGAGGAAATGCTATATAAAACCTGCACAATGGGCTCACTCAAGAAATCAATCCATAAACCAAGAGCAGAAGACAAGGGGAGCCACAAAGAGGCGAGAAGAGAATTCTGTGGGGCTCTCTTGACCCACCCCGAGACCCCCGCCAGAAAACGGAATTCCGTGTCCCTTTGTTTACATGTGCGCTAAGCCAGGACAGCACTGGAAAAACTGCTTTCAAGACACAACAATGCAGGGGTGGGGGGTGGGGGGTTAGTGCTGTGTGACAGAAACAGAAAATGAAAACTAAGCCCCTTCATGCTCCAGAGGTATAAACAAAGGGCCTTCCAAGCCAGCACCAACCCCTCACCAGCCCCGCTGCTGGGAGTGGGGCTCCGTCTCTAGAACTTACTTACAGGAGCACTAGAGAGAGCACAGAGCACGTGGAGTGGACGGACACGGGTGTGGGGGCAGACATGGGGCTTACCAGAGGAGGCACTTCAGAGTTTCCTAAGCTTCCCCCAAGGAAGCTCCAGTCATAAAAGTAACATTTTCCCTGGCATGCCTGATGTAGCACTGAAGACATGCTGGATGGGGCATGAAAAAGAGCTCCCGGGAAAAGTGTACTGTCACTGCTCTTTTTAGAGGAGCTTTTGCAATTAGAGTAATTTATGTCAGAATTAGACAGTTTAGGGAAGAGAAATCTAATTGCAAGAGATAAATATAATAACTGGTATGAAACGGGCTCACAAAAATCTGTTTAGAAATCCAAAGCCAAAATGAAAAAGCAATGCATTTGAAAAAGGCGGTAAGGGGTGGGCAAGTGTGAGAAGTGAGCAGAGGTGGGGCGGGGAGGAAGCACTTTCTTAGAATGGCTGTAATTTAGCTGGAAAACTCGCTGGTTTGGGGGTAACCTGCTAAAACTGAACATGCATGAGACTAAAAATAAAAGACAGTATTGGCTGAAAATACTTGGCTAAGGTAAAAAGAACAAGGTTTTGCTACCTTCATGAGGCCAAGGCCACAGAGACAGTAGAATTAGGGAGATAGGCTTGGTGATGCCCATTGGCTCAAATCCAGGCCAGGACTCTTGTCTACAAAGATCCCATGTACACACACGCCTGCTGTGCGCCCTGAACTTCCGACCACATGGAGTGTATCTCAGCTTCCTGCAGCGTTCCGTTATGGCTCTGCCATCCACGTGTCTGTCCAAACCCTTCTGGAATCCATTTATGGTGCCAGCTTGCGCCACCCCCGGGAGAGAATACATCCCATAAATTCATTACCTGTTGCGCGGTGTAGTATTTCCGCTGACTTGTCCTGAACTTGTCTCCCTCATGGTTCCAAGGCGCTGCTAAGTTTCAAGATCCGGTGAACAAGCCTGTACTCATCTTATCCGCACCACTTATAGGCTGAGCGTCTCCTTCTAATAGTCTGCACCCTGTCAACAGCCCTTCTGCCTTCCAGGAGGCTCCTAAAGCACCCAGGCTGCCACTGAGGGACTTTCTGTAGCCCGTGTACGCTTCTAGACCCTCTCCCAAGTGTCGCAGGCAAGAATATACCACAGTTTAAGGCGACGGTAAGATAATGTTCTCAATTTAATATTTTCCATCCCTGAAGAATATGCCCATTTGGGGACAGCACTGTCCTGGGTGCCAACACATTATATTCGACACGGCTTCTAGACTTAGGGAGTTTGCAAACTGATGGCAAAGTGTCTGCAGGCAGCACAAGGTGGACAGATGCTGGCCAAGAGTGTGGGTCAACTTGTCTGAAATGGGGCATTTTCAAGAAAGAAAAGCAAGTGTGGTCAGTCCTGGCCTTCACAACAGGCTATGGTTCTATATTAAATATCCCCTTGATTTTCACAGCACCCTGAGAGGGAAGTAACACATTTGCCCCCAACATATTGATGTGAAACCAGAGCTTAGCAGGTGCTAGAGTGAGCAGGGTGTAGTCACTCAAATCTCCAGTCTCAGTTCACAAATCTGCTTATTTTGGCTATTTTTTTTAATTAGATGTTAATGCTCTGTTTCACTCCATTTAGAGCCCACTAACCTCCTGACCACTCCTAAGTGTCTTCACCAAAAACATGAAAAATAATGAGGATAAAGCACCGCAGGTGCCTAGGGCCATCCATGATGTCATCAGTGTTGGGATTTCACTGCCAAGAGAATAAAATAGTAGGTGGGAGCTCTAACCTGCTTTCTCTTAAGGGATGCATCATCCACCCAGAGTGAGAACGCCCTGGCCGGACGCCCACTCCTTTACTTCTGCCATCATTGCTTCTTCCTATTAATGCCAGTCCCTCAACAGACTCTGCAGCCTTGGTAAGCCCGGGTGAGCAGATCCGCCATCTTGCCCCCTGCTTTCTCTGTCGCTGAAGCTACTGGCCTTCCCCATTTACTAAGACATCACAGAGATACCGCCTTGTGGACAGGCCTCCAGTTTTCTTTCCGCCATTGATAGCCACGTCTGTTAAGCCCTAAGCTCAAGTCAACTACCTCAATTTCTTTTGTTTAGTTTCATCTTGTTCTCTCTTAAAAGCAACCCTAAAACTTGTCGCTGAGGCCACAGCCTATCTGTGATGCTGCTCTAGATTTCCAGGAAAGCCTCTTCCGTAACCTTCCCTCAACAGGCCTCATGTCAGGCCTGAAAGCTATCCCCATTCACGTGTGGAATTCCTTCACAGAAGGTGAATTCCTCCTCTACTCGACGATCCAGTGGATGGACTGAGGGGCCAGGCTTCACCATTAGTTATGTGACTTTGAGGAAGCTACTCTGAACCTCAGTTTCCTCATCTGTAAAACAAGGATGATACTACATCTCCTAACTGTGTTGTGAACGGCTAAATGGTAAGTTATGCACAAAGCTCCTGGCACAGTGCCCAGTGTCCTCAGCAAGGAAGAACATCTCTGTTCCCCAATCTTCATGTCAGCATTCAAGGCCTCACTCTGCCGCTGACCCAAACCCACCCCTTCCTCGGGGCTCTGTTAGACTCTGGCTTTAAGCTCCAACAGTGTGAGAGGAACCAACCCTACACAGGTAGACATGTGTAGGGTCAAAGTGGGACTACAGATTGAAGACTTTGCAGCTCAGTAAGCACATGTGCTGAGTGAAGCCCCTCAGCCTAGACACTTCCAAGCAGTCCCTCCAGCCGATCTTCCAACCTCTGCTGGCCCTACCTGACCACCTGTTAGCCCACCTGCTTCTGGGACCCACCTTTCCCCTCTTCTTGTTCAAATTCAGACTGAGTTCCCTCCACCTGGGTTTCTGGGAAGAGGGTCTCATCTAATTTCCATTAGAGCCATTAGAGGAAAACTATTTTTTCTCTTTCCTTAATCATCCCTGGCATTTCTGATTAGAGGGCTGGGTTTTCTCTTTGGTCTTTCAACTTAGTCATTTAGTTTCTCCTGCACTAACAGAAACAGATCTCTTGTTCCTCAGTTGAAACAGCTGGCTGCACCAGTCATTTGAATGCCCATACGCAGAGGCCAAAGGACACCGGCACTCAAGCACGGTAGATGGAGGGAGGGCAAGACACAGCTCAGCACCTGGGCACTTGGCAAAAACAGTCAAGAGGGCAGCATCTCGGGTCCGTGTCATGGAAAGACCTCCAAGGAGCCCCTAGACATCCCAGGGCCAGGTTCTGTCATCACCCCCCTCTCCCTACACACACAGTAACCTTGGAGACAGTGAGCAAGCTCCCTGCCCTGGGTCATCAGAAACATTGTGTCTGAAGTCCTCCATCCCACGTGGCGTGGCGCAGCTCTTTCATTTCCTAGCTTTCCAGGTGCTGGAAACCTGACCCATGACCTGAGTAAAAAGTGGATGTAAGGCAACTGAGGATGAGAGGGGAAGCACCTCTGAGGACTTTATGAAGGCAGTTTCCCCTCCATCTCTGCTTCCGACAACTCCTGCTGGTGCACAGTGTTCCTTATCACCTCCAGTGAGCCCGGCAAAGGCTTTTCTGAGGTGTTGCATGCACCCTTCGGTGCACACAGCGATGACCAGGGGAGCTCGTTTCCTTTGCTCAGATAAAGCGCTGGAGCCTCCACCCAATCTGCCCCATGGCCTCCCTCTCCAACACCTTCCACCTCCTTTCAAAGAAGGCTGCTCTATTAGGAAGGGCTGGGCTGTTTTCACTTAAACCGACTTTCCTCAGTTTAGGGCTCCCGTCCCTGGGAACTTCAGTGCGCCTGTGAAAGCGACTGGGGACTGGCGCCGCAGCAGGAGAGCGAGCGGCTGCGTCCTGCAGGAGGCGTGCTCCGGGACGACGGGGCACCCACACGTAAGGGCGGGGTCGCGGAGGGGGTAACTGGCGGGAAGACCGCGAGGGTGGGAAGGTGCGTCTGGCTGGGCAGTGTGCGCCCAAGTCCAAGGGCACCCGGCCTCTGCGGGCCCCGGGGAGGAAAGTTTGGGCCGAGCCCAGGGAGCGGGAGAGGGAGTGAGTCTGATTCAGGAAGTCGAGCCTCTGACATCAGGGGCAGGACGGAGTTGGAGTGAAACCTCAAAAAATGCGAGGCGTCAGCCAGCGAGAGGGCAGGGAACACAGAGGGCGCCTTTCTCGCAGCCGGCGGCAGGTACGCGCGGCGCGGGGCGGTCCCCGCTGACCCTGCACCCAGGCCTGGACCGCGCAGGACTTCCAGGGGCTTCCGACGAGGCATCGGGACCTCGCCCCTGCGCCAGATCGCTGTCTCGCCGGCAGCACCCGGCGGCCCCCTGGGCGGCCGCGCCTGCAGGAAGCCCTCCGGTAGACTCAAAGGTGAGTCTCAAGACGTTTGTGGTTGTTGTGTGTGTGTGTTTTAAAAACTTGACTTTAAGCTGCCTTAGTTTGGAAGGGGACTTCCCACTCACTTCTTTCCTTAGAAGGATGAGACCAGCCCCAGAGATAAGAGAGATTTAAGAATTGTTTCCAAATAGCCTCTTGCCCCTTCACAACTTCACTTCCAGCGTTTCCCTTCTTTGTAGGGATTCTCAGCAGCCTGACATCTGCTTCTGTGCTGAGTCCACATGGGCTCCTGGCAGGTTTTGGGGTGGAGTTCTCTGCCTCTGGCTGACAACTGCCATAGGAGCCGCTTAAAAGGGACAGAGGGCCGTTCTGTTTGCTACTGAAAAAGCCAAGGGTTGAGACCCTCCAAAAAGCATCCGGGGCTCAGACGTTTCTGAATTATTCCAGGTGAAGCCAAATTGTCTAAGGGGCTAAGAAACTGGCCACAACAAAAACATGGCCTGGAGCCAGCGGTGGGATGGGAACCTGCCTACTATTGTCGGAGCCGTGGGGGAGATCTGCTGTGACACAGACTGCTTCCTAACTTCCCTGCCTCTCTAAGCGGTCCCACTCCCAGCCCCCGCCCCACCCTTGAAGGTAGAATGGAGGACACAATGAGACCTGTTTCCCTAGTATTTTGAAGAGCTTCACAGGAATAAATTATGCAATAATAGAGTTAAATAAACTGTAGACATCAGCTAGTGGCAACAGCGTCCTGCCTAACCGAAAGGGAAACTGAAGCAGAGGAGCGCTGCCCTCACTTCACAGAGGACGCTGGCAGCCCGCACGCTAGCTACCTTGCAGAGCCGCTCCGCGGATTCTGCTGAATGAGGAAGGGAGGTGCACATGAGCATCAGAGAAGCACTTTCCTTCCAAAGCTGTTGCTTTTCATTCACTCAGCTGAAGTCCATAAGAACCTGAAGCTAATTTTAAGGGACCCTCATTCTGAAGTCCTATTGGATAATGGAAGAGCCTTGGGTTATAAGGAGCTGGACTTGTAGCATTGACGCTAGGTTGTTCCTAACCTATACAAAATGGTTTGAGAGTTCCACCAGAGAATTCAGCAAGGATCTTACCATCAACCTCTTAGTCTGATGTGCCTACATTTTGCCTGGTGCTAGGCTGGGATGGCAGCTATACTAAAAAAATCTGATCAAGTCCTTCATCTGAAATTCTGGCTCCCCATCCCCACCCCAAATACAACTGTAGGAAAGAAATGCATTGCAAAATAAGTGTTTCTCCAGCCTCCAGATTTTGTTAATATTTAGCCTGTGGAATAAAGCAACGATGATTTCTGCCCTTTTCCCTGAAGAGCAATCCCAAGAGACTAAGGAACACTCAACAACCCGAGTTACTGATTTCGTCAGAGGGATGTACATCTATCCCATCTGTTCATTTCACAGTTACTGTACCCACTGTGTGCCAGGCAGCATGCCAGGACCTTGGAGTCCAAAGAAAATACAGTAGCTGCCTTTGAGGACCTACAGTCTGGTAAATGAGACAGAGAAATAAAGTATAGTTCAGAATAGTAAAGCTCATCACAGCAGTAACTATGGGACGCTGAAACAATCCAGAGGAGGGAGTGAGTAACTCCCCCAGGAATTACCTGCAGATGTGATGGATGAGCAGGTGTTGAAAATGATCGGGTGTTCCTGGGGAAAGGGTGTTTCAGGCAGAGGAAGGAGTGTCAGCGAAGTCAATGGCGGGTTGAGGGGAGTGCACATAACAGGGATCCCCCCCCCCACAAAGAAGCGTGAGCTCTTTCCTGTCGCAGTGGGAAGTTATTTTTTACTTTTAAGCAGGGAAAGGGTATGGTCAGATTTGTGTTTGGAGAGAGAACTAATGGCCAGATGGAGGCTGGCTTGGAGAGATGGAGAAGAGGGATAAGGAGGCCCTCAATCAAGATAATGGCAGAGGGAACTGAGGAAAGGGCATGGAGTTTAATGGTGTTTAGGAAGTAGACTCAAAGGCACCTGGTGACCAGGTGAACGTGGCTAGGGAGCAGTGAGCGGAGCAGAGGATTATAAGGTGCTGAGCTGTGGATGGGGGGATGCATTGTGATGCTTGCCATGGGAATCACATGAACTAGGGAAGGAGTGGGCTTGGGAAGCAGACTGTGGGAGAAGGTGATGAACACTTCAGACACATTTAAGTTGGATGTACGCAGGAGATGTCTGGGTGGAGATACATGGGAGGCAGTGGTTATACAAGGAGTGGGTATACTCTGGGGCCCAAGGACAAGCAGAGGCTGCTCCAGTTTAACTATCCCAGATGCTGCACATAAAAGCAGCGCTGAAGGAAGCTAAAAAGGCCTGTGTTACACTAGCAGTGAGACCCCGCTGACGCTGAAGAGTCTTGGATTTGTCAGTAATGGCCTACAGATATTCTCTTCATATCATACAGATGACTCTCTCCAGACTCCCAAGACTCTCCCCAGTGCCTTGCAGGATGCTACCTAAAATGTTGCCAAGAACCGTGGGTTAATGGCGCAGGTGGTACAGATGCATTTAACTGAACAAATATATCCCCAGGAATCCCTCCTCCATGTGAGAAACAAATACGTTAATTTTAAGGTCTGCCAGGACGTCTCCAGAGCTCATACTGCAGGTCTAGTCATTGCACCTGTGTGGGAGAGGCCTTCCTCCTTTAAAACAAGAAGGACAGCTTTCTCAGACTAATTCTAAACCTCTGTAGAATGGTCCTTTCGGTCTGGCTGCCAGTGTCTGGATCAGGATCTGATGTGACCGGGTGTGGAAGAAAAAAAAACCTTGAACTTGGAACTAGACAGACATGGGTTCAGTTTTTGCCTTGATCACTTATTAGCTGCCCTTGAACAAGCCTTTGAATCTCTCAGCTTCATTTCCCTTATATTTAAAATGGGGATAATTATAATGCACCAGGGCAATGGTTAGAATCAGAATCAAACTGAAAAAGAAAGTACATTTAATGTGCTACATAAATTGTAAGGTTCTATAAAAATGTAAGGCGTTTTATTATTATTATTACTAATCCTTCCTGCTGAATCAGATGGGCTGTGTAGGTGTAGGATCTGGGCATAATCTTAGGCCTGGACTTGCAGCTTTTTAACTGCATGAAATATTTTAAGGGAGTAATTACAGAAGTCCCCTTCCATCAGAGCACTGGCGGGCATCTATCCTGGCTGCTTTTCTTTTTACTCCGTACCTAATGAGGCCATTGACCAAAGAAGGGAATGTGCCACTAAAGCCTTTACAGGTTGTGCACTGCACGAGGGCTCCTGGGAGCTCACAGGGCTGAAAGCAGCCAGGATTCCCCTTGCTAGGCCATGCATGCACCCCACTTGCAGCCGAGTCCACCCGGGGAGGGGGACACTTTTTTCCTAATTCTCACCAATGTGCCAGTTGAACCTGCAGTGACCCTGAATCTGAGCATCTTTTTAAATTTGTTTTATTTTTGTTTCCAGACCAGTGGGTGGGTGCACATTGAAGTATAGTCAATTTACAATGTTGTGTCAATTTCTGGTGTACAGCATAATGTTTCAGTTATACGTGTACATACATTCCTTTTCACATTCTTTTTCATTATAGGTTACTACGAGATATTAAATATAGTTCCCTGTGATAAACAGTAGAAATGTGTTGTTCATCTACTTTATATATGGTTGTTAGTATCTGCAGATCTCAAACTCCTAGTGAGCATCTTTTGCTGGCTTAGATGTCTCTGGTTTTCCTCTGTCCCAACCAGAGAAGCCTGACATATTCCAACCCAGTGAAGCTCAAACTTTATGCCAACATCAAAACTTTCAAGTAAACAGACTTCTGATAGGGGCTGGTTGTTGATGAAGAAAAGGAAGTAACCACAGATGCATAGACTTCAAATGGAAAAACACTGTAGAAATAAGCCAGCTCCTCCCCCTCACTTCACAGATGAGCAAACTAAGGTTCAGGGAGTGAAGTGTGTGCCCGGGTCAACAGCTGGTTAGTGAAGGGACCAGAATCCTAGTTCAGGAGTAGTGAACACTCTCCAGGGTTTTTGTCACCTGGACCATCTGTGCCTCACACACAGAGACATGCACAGACATTCAAATGCTGGCAGAAAGGCAAAATGAAAAGACTATTCTTGAAGACTACATCTTGCCTGAGTGGCCTTCAGGGAGAACCAAGAGCAGATCTTCAAGAAATGTGGGCAGATCTCCTTTAAGGCAATCTCCACGCTGCACTCATCCCTCTGTTTCCTCCACATCAATCCTTAAACTTTTCTCAAGAATTCCCAAAGATCCCTCAAGAAGAGAAACAGAACTGGGTGCCTTAATGAACCAAAACCCATTTAGTGTTTCATGAAACTTGTCATTAAACTGTTTCCAGACCAGTGAGTGGGTGCACATTACACATCAAATATGATACACACTTACCATTCACTGAGAAAGGCTCTAAGTGAATCACCGGAGCTCATGAGACCATCACAGGCACAGTAAGATACAACAGTGGCAGACAGACTTTCTCCCTCTTCAAGCAGCAAAAAGAAAACCTACTGCAAATTCTTGGATAGGCAATCCCCAGGGCTACAGACCAGCTCAGGTATCTGACTTTTCCCCCACATCAGCCCGGGCCAGCTGAACAGAGCACCACCTGGGGACATGAGTGGACTTTTAGTGGAGACCAGGCAAGAGTAGCTGAGTTCCAAAATGAACTCCACACAAACACAAGATTCCTTTCTTAGGGCAACTCCCAAGGGGCCAAGGCAGTGTCCAAACTGAATCTTGGCCATGGGAAGAGACTTACTCCCACGCTTCTAAGCAAACCGCTCCATGGAATTTGTTGCTAAGAAGTGAAAGAAAACCTAATCATTGCCATGTTTCTTCATCAAATTTGAAGACTGTGTTTGTAAGCCTTGCCCTTGACTGTCTATAACTCCTTCCTTTTAGGATGTTTTGCAGTTGACTTCTATTCTTTTCAAATAGAAGCCTAATTTCAAGCCTGAAGGAAAGCCCATCAGCCATTTCTTTTAGTTTTCCA